TACTTTTAAGCTAATATGCTTAAAGATGCTTGCAAGCACTAAATAAGCATCTGAACACCTTCTGAAAGATTGAATTTTGGGGTAAATATGAGCTCAAGCATAAAAATTGTGCTGTAATTCTATACTTTCAAGACCACATGAAAACTAAGAATAGGAACCGAGGTGCCAAAAGTGTGGTGGAAAAAGAAGTCAAAATCAACTTGCCAATTAATTGGTCTATTAAGAAGCTGCCACATATGAAAAAGTAAAACGAGCTGACTACTAGTGAACTGTCACCACCTTTGCACTGGTGAGAAATGACTATAACTAGGCCACTAAGGAGTTAATGCCATTGTTGAACTAATTAGAAGTATAACACCTATGTTGAATATGATATTTTATTATTTTAATTAATTAATTAGTATTATGTAATTAAAATTTTATAATAATAATCTCACATTATTAGAATTTTAGTAGAATAAAAATTTTCTTATTAATAAATTAAAAATTCTATAAATACCCAGGTGTAACAAACTAAAAGGTGAAAAATAAATTTATTTATTTATTTTTCTAAAATTTTATATGGTATCAAAGCCAAATAATATTATTTTAGGATTCTAATTTTAGGGTTATTTTCAAATCCTAAAATAGTACAATATGCTTCGTTGGTACCTTTTTATCCATATCCACTTTCATCACCACTCAAGATGGATTTGAACTCATTGATGTATTTTATGGTGTTTATGGTGATTTTTGCCAGCAATTTAGGCACTGGTAAAAAGTGCAGCTGCACTCTGAAGGCGCTGGTAAAAAGTGCAGCTGCACTCTGGAGGCGCTGGTAAAAGGCCCTGCCGCACTCTTGAAGCGCCGGTAAAAAGCTGCAGCCGCACATTTTAGGCACTGGTAAAAAACTGAAGCCACACATCTACAAGCGCCGGAAAAAAAAGTGCAGTTGCACATCCGAAAGCACCAATAAAAATATTCAACCTCACAACCGTAAGCGCTAGTAAAAAGTTGCAGTCGCACATCTATAATCGTCAATAAAAAGATGCAACTGCACATCACATGCACTGATAAAAAGTTACAGCCATACATCTACAGGTGGCGGTAAAAAAAACTGCGTCATTTCATTTTTATGCGCACGTTCAAAGATTTGTCCGAGTTCGAGCCATTTTTTGAGCCGATTTCAAGCTGTTTTAGAGCCAAGCCTGAGCTATTTTAGAGCCAAACCCGAACTGTTTTAGAGTCGAACTCAAGCTGTTTTAGAGCTAAGCCAAGCTGTTTTGAGCTGATTTGAGCCATTTTGGGCCGGGTCTACCCGTGTTGAGCTGGGCTAAGCCGTTTGAGCCAGACCGAGTTGTTTTAAGCCGAGTCGAGCTGTAATTGCTCTTTTTAGATGGGAGCCATGTTGCCTCCCAACCTTAATCATGTTTTTGCTTCGAGCTATTGAGGCTAATCTCTTTTAAGGTTAATATACGGGTGCACGGGACTAGAAGATGGAGATCTCTCATCTCATGTTAACAAACGACATATCAGAAGTCTTATTCATGATTGTCTGATATGAGAAAGAGAAGAGAAAGAGAGAGAAGAAGAGAGAAGGAACACAAAGGAAGAAGAGAGATTTTGAGGTAAAATTTGTTTTATTTCTTCGATGCCTTTACATTCGTAAAAATCACCTTATTTACAAGCTTATGAGCGTTAAAGGTTGGATGATGATTGAGGCGAGACTCGCTTGGCCATTTGGTTGCGGTGGCAACCGCAGGATCTGCTGTAATGATTAGGATTGATTCAGTGATTCAACTCTAACCCTAATCCGTCCTGCTATTTTGCCCTCTGTGGGTGAAATGACTTTCCTGCCTTTTTCCTATAGTAAACAACCAGAGGTCCCTCCTTTTGAAGCCAGACAAAGCTGCCTTGAGGAACATTAGATGTGCGCTTCCCTCTTTCCAAATTGTTCCGGAATTGATGGTCAACTTAGCACAATCTAAATTGTGACTATTGGGTGAACAACAATGAGTTAGTCATGATTTTGGATTATAAAACAAAAATATATCTATTGTGTACCTCATTTTTCCTTTTGATGCTTACATTAAAGCGGCTAGCTTAAGATTGAAAGGTGGCTCCTAGGGAGAACTTATTCAAAGGACGTAAATTGACTCTTTCAGAGAGTGCACTCTCTCTCTCTCTCCACCTTTGCCTCTTTTATTTTTGTTTTTGATAGAAAAACAAATTGTATTAAGAAGAGAGAAAAAGTATAAAGTAGAGGATTAGATGTCCTCCCAAATAAAAATAAAAGAAAGGGAAAGGGAGATAATCAATGAACCTTATAGAAGGGATAGCTTGTCAATCTCTATGCAATGAAGACAAAAAACAACCTTTGAATAAACCATGTGCATGGCCTAAGGGGATAACAAAAAGACACCTTATCATAGAGAAGTAAAAAATAAAGAAAAAAAGATCTCTTAAGATACTAGCATTCCTTTTCAGCCAAATCACTTGTAGACCAGGCAAAATATAGCCCTCCTCCAAAGCGCTTTATTTTACTTCCTCTTGTCAAACTCACCAATAGCAGAAGTAATAGACCCCTATAGATGATGATGAGCTGCCCAAGCCACATTGAAAATGTCAAAGAGCCAACAACAAAGCTTCCAAACCAAATCACAAAGCAAAAAAAGGTAACTATGCATCTCTGCAGCTTTATAGCACATCACACAAGCCCTTGGATACAATGCATGATTGGTCTATGAGTTTGGAGCAAATCATTAGTATCCAGTCTATCCAAAATAGTAATCCAAACAAAAACCTTTAATCAGGAGTAGGAATGCTCGACCAGATTTTGTTATAAACATCATTGTGAATGGAAGGACTACAGGTTAGAAAAGCAAAGAACGACTTGTAGATAAAAGTACCCAAAAAGTCTAAGGACCAAACTCTATGATCAGGGTCTAGGAAAAACAACAAATCAAAGAAGTCATATCTACAACTTCACAATCATTAAAGTATCAAAAATAGTGCATATTCCATGAATGAGAACCATCTGAGAGGTCCGAAAAACAAGAAATAGAAGGATTATGTCTTTAGGATAGATTACAAGGGAAGTGAAGAGCTAGTAAAAACTCATCAATCCAACTGTCCTCCCAAAAGAGAAAATGGCAATCATCAGCCACTTCGCATTGTAGACAAGGGGAAGAAACTCTCATAGAGGCAAGAGAATGCTTTCTGATGACTCCACTACGAGGGAAAAAATGCTCACTTTCAAATTCATCTCATCATGCTGCAAACTGAACTTGCTCTTAGTTACCTGACAATAAATAGATTGAGAACATCTAGTGTTGGCTTTTGTAAGGTGATATATATGACCAAAGAAAGTTTCACTTGGTAACTCATAAAGATGTGAAACCATCAACGGCAAAAAGGGTCTAGATACTGCATAATTTCAATCAAGCTCTACCAGCAAAACAGAATGAAACTTCTTTTCCACCAGAGATTAAACTGGTATCTTAGACTAGGTAGGGATGTTTTTGGCTCTAGTCTTTGAAGGTGGATTGGTTTGTACTTGGACAAAATTTTGCAACCATACTCAGTACCATGTGGTGAATGGCATGCGAATTAGGTATTTGTAGGATATCTAGTGTGGAAATAGGCATTCAAGAGATAAGTTTCCTTCTACCCACTCCATAGCTCAGTTCAAGGAGGCCCCAGTTGTCAATGGTTTTTGAAGTGTACAGTAGTGGAATCAAGTGAAGCATCTCTCTTCTTGCGATTTAAATGATTGAGAAATTAATGATTGGATTTCCTTTCTTGCCAAGTTGAGTGTACTTCTATTCTTTCAGCACTAAAGACGTGCAAATGTGGAAGCACTCTGAGGAGGGAACTTTTAAGTTAATCGTATTAAAACCACTTGATTGTAGATGGTGGGATCTTGAGTTATCTCCCTTGGAAGAAAGTATGGGGAATGAAGGCAACTCCCATAATTGCTCTTTTTAGATGGGAGGCAACATGGCAAGAATCCTAACTATTGACATTCTTAATTTGAAGGTAGAATTTTGGTAAACCATTTTGGTGTCAATGTGATTATAATGCCCTAGCCTTGGGATTCATTTCTCAATCCCCTAAACCTCAACTAGATGGACACTTGGAAGGGGAGGAACAATAAAGCTTTTAGAAATTCCTCTTTCCCCCTTGCTTTAATCCAGGATCATTGGCTTGCAACCCTTCATATTTTGTTTAAGTGTCATCCTATGTATGATAAGGTTGATATTATTAATAATATTGACATTTTCTCCTTTCAGTTAGATGTAAGTATTTTTCTATATTTCTCCTTTTGATTCCGTTGTCATCTTCCTCTTAGAAGAAGATACATGGTGTCAAATTATCCTACAAATAGTAAAATGCCACTCTCATCCGATGCAAGGAATAAAATAAAAAAGCTAAAATCAAAACGACTCCTAAATCAAGGTAATATTTCTGAAATAGACTATATAATATAAAAGCATATGAAACTACTAAACTAAATAATATTATTAAGCTATTTTGTACACTGAAAGCATTCTATCTTCCTTATTTCAACTTTGCATAAGTCTTCTTCATTTGGCGAAAAGCTGCATTGATTGAGATCTTTGAAATTCACGGTTCCAAGGGAAAGCAAGAAAGCGAAAACCATAGGCTCCACAAGACCATGAAACTGATTAAGTAATATGATATCGACTACAAGACGAACTTGTAAATATTACTCATCAATGGACTTCTTAAGTAAGATCCTGAAAATTTTCTTTTCACCAGCATTGTTAAGAATATTAAGAAAAGTGATAAGAACTTCAATTTCTTCAATGTGTTCTTCATGTTGTGAAGGACAGAGGAAAAATTTTGAGTATCGACTACTGACAAGAGAAAAGCCTTTACAGACTCAGGTTTAGCTCGACATATCTGTGATTCTTACTGTAACTTCAAACACAAGTATAAATATAACTAGTACTCTTTTCCTAGCTGACAACAAGAATCATAGACACAACCAACCAGGAAGAGAATTCTTACTCCAAATAACTTTTAAAAGGTATTGATATTAAACAAAAAGCTTGATGACGTTGAAGTATCTCAATTCTTTCCAGACATTCAAAAGAACCAAAACTCAATATAATAGATCCAATTGCAATGAATTATAATTAAACAATAGCTTGACTACCGCTTAAAGCTTCACTTTTATTTTATGGACCACACAAAAGAGAAAGAGTTGGGATTCAAACCTAGAACTTGTTGATTATGACCTGGGAAAATTGAAAAGAAAAAAAAAAGAAATATGAAGATCAGGGGGAAAGGAAAAATGGAATAAAGAGATAACATCAAAAGAACTTGGAATCAAGAGATGAAACAAAGAGAAGTAGAACAGAGGACCAGGAAAAGAACAATTGGGCTTATGATAATGTTTCATGTAGAACATAACTACTAACTAGCTGCATTGACCACATTAATTTAGAAAATTAAAAGGATAGAAAGAGAGAATAGGAGTGGAAGAGAGGACTAAGCAAAGGTGAGAGGAAAAAGAAAGAATAGATAGAAGAAAAGGCTACAGGAGAATAGACGAAAAACCAAAATTTAGGAATAAGCTGCAAGTACCATTTCAAAATAACATAATAAATTTGCATTATATCAAATGTATCTCATAAACAAAAATACGTGGAAGAAAGAAGCAATAGTGCTAGGCAACAAATTGGCCCAATTAGAAGTTGCTATCAACGTTGGACCCATCAAATTGACACAAGTTTTCTATCGGAGCTGCTACCACCTTTGGACTGACAAGAAATGATACAAGTTGGCAATAGGGGGTTGCCGATGCTTTTGGACCAATCAGAAGCATAGCACCTAGGAAGAAAAGATAAAAACTAAGCTCCAATACCATCCTATTAATAATAAGATGCTACCTCATCCTATGAGAAAAAGAAAAAAGAGCGATCAGAGTAACTACTAAACCCAGCTAATATTTCACCACTGAGGTGACAACCCGAAGGTGTAAATACACTTATTCTTTCCACATGAGAGTCACAGGTATATACCTGCATTTGCTAGTAATTTGTACTACAAGCAGCTGTAGAGAGGGGTACTTGTGTCTCAATGGGTTATAATGATAGACTTGCATTAGGGCAATAGTTACAGCTCAAATCAATATTCTGCAACTGATAGAAACTCCTACAATCACATCCAAAGAGGACTGGTTGTGCTGGTTTTTTAAGGAAAACAATTAATCCAACCAATATTTTCTAAATAGCTTATACAAAATAAATATATGAAAATACTAAAAATTGTATAAGTATCACAGAACTATTTTCTAATGCTAAAAAGAAGCCATCATGGTTTTTCCCATTATACGTTAGTGAGAATCTTAATGTATGATTTACCTGCATGTACCTGGCTAGAACTAAAAAATCAGTATCCTGAACCAGCTCCAAGATCTCCTGTTCTCTTTTGTTTGCTTTGGTTGTATGCAAGTAATGATATGGAATACCATGCCTTTCAAGAAAGCGAATCACATGCGTGTTTGAAGCTCTCTCATGATTACTATCATTCAAAGTATTTATGGACCATAATGAGTAATGTGTAGCTTCAGTGTAGAGTTAAATAGTCTAGAAAAATCACCTTATTACACAAGTTATATCCACAGGAAGCTTTCCATCTTGCCATGCGTGTAACATGTCAACCAAGCAGTGATCCTGCAGTTAGATTAAAATAGCTTCAGTAGACAGAATAAACTTCAATATGAAGAAAAGAAGGGTTCAACAGAACTGAAAATATATACCTGTTTTGATGAAAGAAGAGCAATCTTATATTTGGGATCTATACATGGTACTCGGACAACAGACTTAGTAGCATTGTACATTTTTGCCAACTTGGAGAAGTCCTCCTCCATTTGTTCACGTGGCCATTTAACAGGATCAAAAACAAACTCCCTGACAAAAATGCACGTTTAGATTTACCTCCACTTGTAGAAAACCTAAAACCAATACCACTTCATCATTCAACAAATTGCTCCAGGAAAGACTCAGTTAAGAAACGCTATTGTTTATAAAACCCAACGCTGTACAGTGACCACATTGCTAAAACTGGGCAAACACATTTTTCAAATTTAGAAAAGTGTCTCCCATGAAAGGTTATCTCTTTTGGATTTAAGTAGGCCATGTTGTTAGCTAAAAATGATATCCATCTAATATATGGGCATTTGACCATTACATATGCAGCATCAATATGAACATAGAATGATTAAACACACAACTGAAGCATTACTGTATCTGTTCAACTTTAGGATAAAAGTCTTCACGGAAAAAAAGGTGCTAGTTACCAAACAAATTACGTACATTTACAATATGGGATAATCATATCTATATGCAACTCCGGAAATAATAGAAAACAAGATTGGGAGAACGTACTTCCTAGAATAGAACACATTCTTGCGCTCAGGCACGAAAACATCAGCCCCAAGAATGTTTCCACCTCTTGAAGCTATGCAATCCGATAGTTTCGCCACGATCCCAACTTCGTCCTGATTTTCAAAACCCAATTTAATTCTCATTATTTAACGCCAGAGCTAACAAGCGAATCCATCTTACTACGACGGTAAATAATTAAATAGAAAAAGGAAAGATCCAAAGACTCCACTCTCCACGAAAAGCATGAAACAACCAAAAAAATTGATGATATGAAATTTTCTACCGCTTTCTATTCTTATCCTGCATTTTCTCAACAACCAAATAGACGATCATGGAATCTGAAGCGAACACGTCAAAGACAGCAGGAGATAGAACTTACAGGGCAATGAAAGATGTGGATGCCGTTTATAAGAAAGGGAGAGACAGAGGAATCGAGGGACTCCCCGTGGATTTTGCAAGATTTCAAGGATCTTTTTGCAATTCTGCATACTTGAGGTAAACTTGAACATAATGTTCGCGTCGGAATCATTTCTGTTTTTCTCTCTGCACCCTCTGAAACTAAAAGCCACCCACCAAACTTTGGCGGCCGTAGCCGTTATCCCCGCCTATCCCGTGTGTTAATTTCAATTTTTCTGGCATCAGATAATTAGATCTATACGGTGACGTTTCACTATGAGGAGGAGATCGATTTGATTTGCGGGCCACGACAAATTACAGCCGTAGGTTTAGAACTACAGCAGAAGATTTTATCAAAAAATATACTTTAGTCATAAATAAATTAGAAATATTTGCCATCGTTCAAGTGGTGCTAAAAATTCTGTAATTTTTAACTCATAAAAATATATTTATCAAATTTTTATTAAAATATATTTCTTTAAAATATTTAATTGCACTAAAAAAATTCTATCTTTTTTTATTTTAGCAATAATTTACGGAATATTTCACAATTTATAAAATATAAAAATGAAAGAAAATTAGTTTTTATCTATACAAGGAATGTCAGTTCTGAAATTTTGTGAAATATTTTGATAATAATAACAAAAGGGGTGGGGGGAGGGAAAAAAAAAAAGAGAGTGAAAATATTAATATAATAATGTATAGAACTATCCGTACACTATATAATCATAAGTTGGTACTTACAATAATAATAGTAGTAGTAGTAAGTCATTAATTAAAAATGTACGTAATCATAATAACAAAAATTAATAATTAATTACTACAGTTGTAATGAAAAACATAAAAGGAGATGCCGTACTAATTGGTTTCTTAACTAAAAAAATTAACACAAATAATAGTATTATAAAACGGATAATTATTGAGCTAATCAGTCTAATCAAGGTTCATAATATTATTCTTCTTTGGTCTTGTCTTTTGGGTTAATTGAGTCGGGCTTGAATTAAAATTGCCCAGCTTTTGGGTTTATTCTCATTTATACACCTCTAATTAATTATATATTCATATGTATGTATTTACGATACAGTTTTCTCGGACAATTTTGAAACAAAGTTTTCCCGTTATACTTACTTGTAAGTATTTAAATACACATACATCTTTACGTAAATAAATTATTTTATTGTTATTTTTATTTTATTTTTTTTAATTTTATTGTTGTTTTGTCTTTTACATTTTTAATTAATAGAATGGAATAAACTATTAAAAAATTGTAAATATTTTCACACTAAAAATTTTGAACAAAATTAGTGTAACGACCCCGGAAAATATTAAAATGAACTGAGTATTTAAATATATCGAATGCGGAAGCGAGATCAAAACTTCAGTTAACATCCCTTACACGAAAAACAAAAAAAAAACGTACTTAAAATATAAAAGATTAAACTAACTAAGAAAGAAACTCGAAAATAAAACTATGCGTATGACTACAGAGTCTCTAGGCATCCCCTTCGTCGTCCTCCTGCGGAACGGGCTCGGGAACCATGTCTTCCTGATCTGAAATGGTTAATTAAGGAGTGAGCTACACTAGCCCAGTAAGAACATCACGATATCTCACCGTCACGGAGATAAAGGTGGGTAGAAAACCACAAAAAGACCAATGGAGCATAATTTACAATAAACTCGTTTATTAACAACAAAACCTTTTATCAATAATAAAACTTTGACCATCCACTTACCTTGGTGGAATTTATGAAAACAATATGAGAAAAACAATAACATTATCATAATCATTGAATAATCTAAGCTGTAAAACATAACACTTATCACGCCTCTTGTAATTCAATCATTGTACAACATATCTTTTTCTCATTTACCAGCCTACTAGTATCCGTGGGGGTCCATAGGGGTTCCGCTACCCGTTAACCCTTAACATTCATAATCAGTTTCCAGGGCCGTCCCCATACCCCGTCCGGTATGGGCGCCAAAACCATGAACCTCAATACCCCGTCCGGTATGAGGGTGAAACGGGCCGTCCCCATACCCCGTCCGGTATGGGCGCCAAAACCATGAACCTCAATACCCCGTCCGGTATGAGGGTGAAACGGGCCGTCCCCATACCCCGTCCGGTATGGGCGCCAAAACCATAAACCTCAATACCCCGTCCGGTATGAGGGTGAAACGGGCCGTCCCCATACCCCGTCCGGTATGGGCGCCAAAACCATAAGATCTCCATACCCCGTCCGGCATGTGAGACCACAATCCCGGTAGGGTTCCCTACGGACCCGGTCCGTCCACCATCTCCCAGGATATCTAGTCAGGCTGACCCCCATAATACAATTATCAGTCTACACAATCTTTCATTTTTCCTTTTCCTCAATCAGCATCATCAATTCACATTTAAACAAGCAAATCGTAATTCATACCAAACAGACAACATACAGTATCAGTTTTTCAGTCATTCAACCCATAATTAATAAAAACGTAGTACATGCACACAAATCTGTAAAATGAACACATCAAACCTCATTTTGCATTTAAAGCTGTAAACAGGCCAAATAACAGTAAATCATCAATCACACTAGACTCGGGCTCCATTAGCAACCTTAAGCAATTTCACACATTCGTTGGTTCATGAAATACCGTTTTATCATTTATTGAACTTTAATACCGTGATAGAAAATAGGGTGAGGGGTCCTTACTTGTTTTCGGGATCCGAATACGATTCACAGTGCGCCTGCAGGCTGTCCCTAATTTTCCCTGAATTTTTCCCGGGGAACTGAAACACGCTAACAGTACCTGCACGGGTTCCAAAAAAATTCCAAATTAGGTCCAGGGCCTCTTTCGGCCCAAATCGCAACTCCGGCACGGCGGCTCCGCCGTGCTCCGGCGACGGCGCCGCCGCTGGCGGCGGCGAGTCGCCTCGGGTTGACTGTTTTCGGCCGTTTTTGGCCGAATTCGGCCACACTCGCATTGGTCCTTGTCAGAAAACAACCCTAGGGCCCTCGGGGGGCCAAAAAATCACGGAAAAGCGGAGCTTACCGGCGGCGGCGCACTCGGGTACGGCGACTCTCCGGCGAAGTTCGTGTTTTGGTGATTTGGCTTCGGTCAACCTGTAGAGAAAAGAATGGTGATCACGGTGATATAAAAATTGCATCGAACGGAGGCCGGGAAGGGCCTCGTCGGAGGCAAAAACCGAGAGGGGGCGCGGCGGCGCCGCTGGGCTTCGGCCGCGTATTTCGGCCGTTTGGCCGGGATTTCGGCTTCGATTTGGCCATAGGAGGAATCAGTGGGGAAAAACGAGTCGGGGGTATGAAATTTACCTCGATCGGCGGTCGGAAATTTCCCCGGTGCGGCGGCGAGTGGCGGCGGGTGGCGGCGGTCGGCCTCTGGTTCGTCTTCTCCAGCGAGCGGCTGGCGGCTAGGGTTTTTGGTCTGGTGTGGGGGTTCTATTTATAACCCCTTGCCTTTTGATCACAGCTGTTCGTTTCGTTTTAATCTGGGCTGTTCGTTTTTGATTGAATCTGGGCCGTCCGTGCGTTTGAATCTGGGCCGTCCGATCGCGTGATTGATCTGGGCCGTCGGATCGCACCCACGCGGATCGCCAACGTGGCTCCTTTCGGAGTGACGCGATCTTGCCACGTGGCAGGCCCCGGTTGGCCGGGACTGCTGACCGGGCCTGCTGACGTGGCTGCTGACGTGGCCCCCCCCTTTTTTTTTTTCCCTCCTTTCCGGGCGCTACAATTAGCATACGCATGTGCTATATATATATATATAGAGAGAGAGAGAGAGATATATTTATATATTTTTTTGAGTTACCATAAAAAAAAATTAAAAAATTTAAGACTGTATTTAGGAATATTTTCTATTTTTTGATTTTTTAAATTTATATTTATTCATTCATGAAAGTGTTGTAAATTTAAAATACAAATAAATAATTTTAAAAAAATACTAAAAAATAAAATTTTTAAACCTTATTTGTATTTTGTTATTATTAGTAAATTTATATAATTTTGTAAATAAAGTATATATAAATCTAAAAAATTTGGAATTATTTTTCTCCCATATACGTTATAGTAATAATTTTTAAGAGAAGACAAAAAAAAAAACCCAACATTTTATAACTTATTTTATTTTATTTAAAGAATGAATTATACAAAAGAAGCAGAAATTTTGACGAATCTCGTGGGAGAGAGAACGCCCAGATCTGTCGTCAAGCAACCCGGAGAAACCTGAGAGCAAAACTTTCGTATCCTGGGTACTTCTCATTAGAGCTTAAAATCCAATACGATTTCTTAGAGAAAATGCCTGTAAGTATTTGTTCATCTGGAAATTTCTGATTCAGTCATCTTCCAATATTTTTTATTAACTCGTCGATTGGGTTATCGTTGTCTGCGTTGCAGTTTACGAGAGTGATAGAGGTGGAACCCCCGAGCCCTCTTAGATACCTGATCGGAGCGGCGATCATGATGATCGGAGTCGTCTTACCCGTTGGTTACATGATGTTTCGAAACAAGCGTGTGCCTTCCTCTTCTTCTTATTCCAAACAGACGTAGGTGTGCCTTTGCTTTTTTTTTTTTTTTTTTAAAGTTTGTTAATATTCCTTTAAGCTGAAAATAGTCTAATTTAGAGCCAAATTTTTTATCTTTCAAATTGTAGTAGTCTTGCAGTAAAAATATGAAATGAGATTCAGTTATATTTGGCTTAATGGAAAATAGATTTCATGCCGTATCATGTTGGAATCTTAATGGCTTGTTTGGTTGCTAATAAAATGTTAGGATAGCTGGATAACTGAATGTGCGTCTTTAATTTTTCCTTTACTATTTTCTTAAGCAGCGGATAGTCCTTTGGTTTTGATGAGACTGGAACGATCTTCCATGATTTAAGCATCAAATTGAACTTTTTAAGTAGAGTGCTTTGCGTTGCTTAAAAATAATATATTAATTTCATTTCTGAATCCGGGGAAAAAAAGGACAGAGGAACTGATTCTTAGATTTGTTTTGGTTGACATATCAGGAACAAAGTTTTGATATAGACACACTGAAATCAGAGAGGCTTTTAGATATGATTCATGGGTTGTTTAAAGTCTGAAGAAGATGGAAAAGGAAGATGCATCGAGATATCGACAAAATACAAATGTAAATGCGTTAAAACTCAAATCTATTACTTTGTTTGTGTATGATCCCAATTCATGTTTGTGAAATGACATACATGTTGTTTGGTGCAGTTTTCCTCATTTTCTTCATTAGATAGTCTAGTTAATGAATATTATCTTTGTTTTGTAATTCTCTCTAATGGCTGGACTATATCCTGATTATTCTTTTGTGTGATGGTAAACATGAGTTTGAGATTTTTCTTTTTCAGTTTTCATTCCGTTCAAATGTTATTTCTCCACTTAGTTACTAAGGTTATGTTTGGAATAAATTCAAATTTCTTGTGTAAAATTTACTTGTAGATATAAAATTATTCAAAATAATGAAATTCCTAGTTAAAATAACGAAAATTGAACTAACATAGAATTTTATATGGAATTAGAATAAAGCAATCCAAATTTTATCAAATTTGACAAAATTTAGACTGTATTTTCCAATTTCATGTAGAATTCCATGTGAGCTAAACTTTTTATAATCTCCTAATAGGATTTGCACGTCTTTTAGTTAAAAGAAATATGAATTTGCAAACAAATTCCATAAAAATTTAAGATTTGTTCCAAACATAACCCAAATTAATCTTATAGATTAAATTAATATGGAGTTCTATATGAAATGCTTTCCAATTTTATTAAATTCAATGGAATTTAGAATTCATTATTCTGATTTCATGAAGAATTTCATATGAGCTCAAATATTTATCATGTTAAAATTTGCACGTCTATCAAGTTAAAACAAATATGGATTTGTAAATGAGTTCCATATAAAATTTTGATTTTTGAACTAGTATTTACTATTAACTATATTTTCTTGGATTTTTCATCTTCTATAGGGTTGGATGGTTTCTTGGACTTAGTTTGGTTTTATTGCAGGGATCTAAGAGTTCTTTGCTTTATGGTTGGATGATTATGATCAAAGTAATTTATACTATTTTTACTACTGAACTTTATGGGGACTTGGTATTATATGAAGTTGCCATGATCTGTGTAATCTACACTCTTGATTTCTATTTTAATGACGAGTAAAAGGTTGTCACAGTGACTTTTGGTAATGTTTAAGCCATGTAGAATATGGCTTATGATTTTTCTTTTCCAGCAGTTGGTTCCTTGCAGGGTGTCCTTATTACTGACGGATTACTTATAGACTAGATTTGCTTGGTTTCTTGAAGGGGCAAAATTTGTTAGTTTCAACAACTTTCTTCTCCCTTTGAGATCCCATCAAAGAGGAAGTTGCTAGTAGCTTTTGGTTATATATTCATCCTTTCGTGGTGATTTTTCTTCTTTTTTGCCTTTGGTTCATTGCCTTCAAAATTCTTGATTTGAGTTAGATGGTGGCATTTAACTGATGAGATTGAGGAGTTGCGAGAGCATTGCGGGTGATAAACATAAGAAGAACTCATCTCTTTTATCTCCTTAGCTACCTTGTTAAAAGGGATTTGCAGAGTGTTTCACATGTTTTCTTAGAGGAGATAACAAATTATGAATGCTGAGTTGATTACTAATTAAATAGTTAAATTTATGTAGAGGCATCATGTGGAAGGTTAAATTGATAATCTTTATAAGGAGAAGCATTATGAACCATATGTCTTGAGTTTTCTTGTTTTAAATGTTAATGAGGGTTGGGTTTAGAGATAGATAGTGTTCATGTATGAGGACTTGTATTTCTTCCTCTCCCTTTTGACTATTGTTAATGATAACCCTTGTGGTTTTTCAAGGCCTCAAGTTATGTAAGGCAAGGGAATCGTTCTTTCCACCTCCTTTTCATCATTGTTATGAAGATCCTCAACAGACTAATTGTTACATTCAAAGAAACATTGCATCACTTAGGGGTTGCTTGCGCGGAAAGGAAGGAAAGTGGTGGAGGTGTGAGTTGTCAATCTTGTAAAAAATTTTAGTGATGCGGAAGTTCAAGGATATATCACTCCATGGCCTTTCCTTTTGTATTTGTCATTACAAGAGGAACTTTAAATTGATTGAAAGCTGGGTATTAGTGGTTCTTTCATTGTAAAATTCTTCTTTTTGCACCAGGTTCATTTGTTGTTGCCCATCGCAATTTCCCTTGAAGCAAATATGAAAATTGAACTTGTTTCCTTAATATTTTTTTCCCTTTTTAAAACTTGAGAGGCAACGAGAGGGAGAATTCCCGCTATTGACAAAGCTTAAAAATGGAAAGAGTCCTGTGTACATGTGTTATTTATGCAGGTGAATCTCTAAATTTTCATCCTATTGTGGTGAGTTTTCTTCCTTAGCCTTTGGTGCATTGCCTTAAATTTCTTCATTTGAGTTAGATGGTGGCATCTGACTCACAAGATTTGGGATTTGCAGAGCATTGTGGGTGATAAACTTAGGAAGCAACTCATCTCTCTTATCCGCTTAGCTACCCTTTTTTTTTTTTAAGAGAGGGTTTCCATTCTCCTAATTCTACTTTTTGAGTTGGAAGATCTTGTAGATATCGTAACCGATCTGCTGAAAAGGGCATAGCACTATTTTGGTACCTTGCTCGCACACCCACACACACACAAACATAAATGTGAAAAATAATAATTTTTAAGCACTTAGTTTTAGTTGCTTAGGACTAAGAAAAAGAATCCACAGTATGTTTCAAATTCTTGTAGGTGTTTATTTTTATCTGTTAATTAATTCTTTTTATCCTTTTGCACTTTATTATTTAGTTCTAATAACAAGTTTAAACTATATTTGGAAAAATAAATTTGTAAAATTTATTAGAAGATAGAAACTCGTTTAAAATGACTAAATGAAAATCCTGCTTAAAATGAAGCAATTTGATCTTCTATAATGAAATTAGGAAGTAAATTATTATGATAACACTACAGCTAAAATAACAACATATTTCCAAATAAATCTAAAAAAAAAATTGTTTACATCTCCAATAATGAAATTCCTGTGGCATTGCCGTGGACAAATTCACCAGTATATCAGTTCATTCCTTGATTCATGCCAAGGACAGGGCCTTAGAGAGAGAAAGAAGGGATTGTGGAAGACATTTGAGAATAGTAGATTGCAGGGGTAAATGAATATGGATCAATAACCTGATGTACCATACAACAGAAATATATTGGTTATCACGTTGCAGCTGTCCTGGCCACAACCTTACTTTACACTACATCCATCATTCTCAAAATCATTAAATTCATATTGTGATAATCACTAGAAAGTAAAAATTGTCATAACCATGGAGAACGAATAAAGGATCCAAAAAATCTTCTGTCAACAAATAATTGATGTATTTCCTGGCCATTTCACTTCCTTTTCGGATGAGACATGGGAACACTTAGTTTTGTATTTCCCACATGGATGGCTACTTGACTCTGATGGAGCCAAACAAACCCTCCACGGAAAAATTTGCCTTGCCCCACAACAGATGGGACAGAAAGGAATGCAACATTGCCCTGTTTGGTAATGGTAGTTTTACCACATCATGGCTTAATGACTGCATTGCACTACATACAAAGCATGCTTGTAGCTACTGGTCATGCCATCTCCCTAGAGCCTCTCCAAAGCGAATTTTATCCCCACGTTTGATACAAAACCTGAAATCTG